ATCATTCCACATTCCTGGGGTTCTGAACTTTGCGGAACCCTGCAGGATTTCCTTTGTAAGGTCGGCGAACATATTTTCCATGTGATCGTCCCACTCTCCGGTCCAGAAAAAACAATCGTCATCCAGGATGTCCCGCGAAGGATATAAGGAGCGGTCTCTGTCAATATCACTGCGGATGCAGCCGAAGATGACATCAATCTCCTGAGGACTCATTTCATCAGTGTAAAGAAACATAGGGTTTTCGTCGTCTGAGTCGATATAGCCTCGCCTGTGTAAGTAGACGTCCGGAGATGGTCCGTCCATAAATTGAGCAACTAGCTCTGGGCCGCCCCATTTGTGGCCAAGCCAAGCTTCTGGGCCACCTAGTCCCACCAAGATCCTCGCGTGAGGCCGTCGGATAATATTGTTGATGCGGCTCATGTAGTAGGCCTTCAGAGCCCCTGGGGCGGTGTAGGCAAACGGCGGTTCCATCATGCAAGTGGGTTTCCCTACTACACGGTCTGTGTCGGAGACTTCCTCGGGTTTGAACCTGCCAAAATCTTCAACTTTGACGCCGATGCTAAAGGGAATTCCGTGAGTGATAGCTTTGAGAAGCACTTCCGCCATTGTGGAAACGTCACGAGAACAAGCCGCCCAGTAACAGAGACAAGCCTGAGCTTTCTTATCGGGTACCAGCAGGAATCTGATGTCGAGGTAGTCAACATTCCACTCCAGGGGTTTCTTGCTAACCCACGCGCTGACTGGCGTTGCGTACTGACTGCCCAAACTGCGCAGGTCGTTGATGTAGGCTGCTCGTCCTTCGGGTAATTGGTCCCTAGACGCAGTCCGCCCGCGGTCGGGAGATGCAGAACGTGTACGAAGATCTCGCTCGCCGGAACTATGTGAGAGTCTGGCTGCTGAAGAAGCCCTGGAGCCTGAATGACTAGAAGGGGCGACCATGGATTGTATCCATTTCGAAGCGACATTAAGTGGGGAAGCCGGAGTTGGCACCAAGAGCGGTGGGTGGGAAGCTGGGACCCAATGTGGGCGAGGGAGAAGATGAGTCCCATCAAGCGCGTCTGCTTCTACGGAGCTTATGTCGTTGTCTTCGTAGACATCCCCCAGGCGACTGACTAGGGTGATTCTACCGCACTCGTCAAAACGCGCTTTGCCAATGGGAGCGTGGCCTGCTTTGAAAAGCTCGCGGATTTCTCGATCTCCCCAACATGCCTCTGTAGTAGATCCTGGGCCCCAGCCGCCTGCGCGCTGACCTCCTCCCGTATCTAGCCGCCGTGGTTTCCAGCGCCAGATGGTGACGTAGCTGTCTGACTCATCCGTCTCGATGCAGAAATGATACCTCCCCGCGTAATCCTCGATCAGGGAATCGTCGATCACAAGTCTCACTGACCACCCCTCGAAATCGCAAATGTATACTGTCGCGTTGGGAGGGATGTCAGAGAAAGAAGGGGAAGAGGTGTGATCGGGCGTTCTTCGTAGTTGAAAAAACTCATCGTATTGCTTGATGGCATCAATGTCGTCTTGGAAGCCCATCATGTCACCCTCCAAGAGCTCCGACCTGTCCAGAGTGTCGCAGGCATCGTGGTAGGCTTGCAGTATAGTTGGAGACAGCCGCGCGAAGCAGGGGTAGTCGTCGTTATCTTCCTGCCAGAAGTAATAGACAGGAACGTTCTCTGCGAGTAGATGCCCTATGTTCAGAACATGCCAGTGCCTCGGCAGGTCGACGAAGACTCCTCTTTTCTTGAGATCGCGTAGTTTGAAACCACCAATGTAATCGACCATCCATCGTTGTAGGATGTCGTCCCATCCGGATACTGAAGATGACCACCAGTTGATAAAACCCAGGTATTCCAAAACTTGTCCCCGCGCATCTTCAGCTAACGATCTAGCCCCCTGAGCTGAGTCCCAAGCTGCGGACAGCAGTAGATAATTGAATTTTGTTGGGTGAGGCGTGCCGGAAACAAATGGTTGCTGCGATGTGATAGATTC